CCGCGGGTGGATGGAGAGTGGCTCAGGGCGCCAGCCAGAGGGAAACCTGACGCGGGAAAGGCCAGCGTAGAACTCCAGCATCGCCCAGTGAGAAAGTCTGGAGAGAGGAGTACATGTGAGCATACGTGTAAATATTTTAATTTTTTTGCCTTCTCAAATTTATGAAATGCTTGAAAACACATCCAAGTTTTGTTTTTTGTTTGGAACATCTTTGTTTTGAATTCTATACGGTGATTGGAGGGGATTATAATCTTTCCAGTTCTGAGATCCTCAGCTTAAGGGAGGCCCAGGGGAGGGTTCCACGGTGGGGTGCCGGAGGCTGATTTCCAACTCCCCGCAGCAGCAGCAGCCACAATCCCAGCGCCTGAGGATGAAGGCCTGCATGGGAGGTAAGACCTCTCCGAGACCCCACTCTCACCAGCTGGTGGCCCCCTCACTGCCGCCTAACAGCCCTGTCTTCTCCCCAGCTCCGGTCCCGCTGCCACGGCTGCCCAGGATGAGAACTTGTGTAAGGGGAAGTGTGGGGCCACCCTGGGGAGGAGGCGGGCCCAGAGAATGTGGGTGGGCAGTGGAGGCTGTGGATTGGGAGAGGGTCCTGGGCTCGGGTGTGAGAGAGCATCTGATCACCTTGTGGCCTAGTAACATCACTGATCTTCTCTGGGCTCCTGCCATACAAGATCTCAAGGGATCTTGGCAAGAGATGGGACCGCCTTTTTCTGTCCCTACCAGATGCTGTCATGAAAGACACACAGGCTGAAGAGGACAGACAGCTGGACAGCCAGGTGGGCTCCCTGTGGTCCTGACCAGGGCACCCCTGCCTCTCTGTTCATGTGATAAATCCAGCAGACACTCCACCCGGCAGCCCGCAGCCTCTCCCTTCTGGAAGCACGCCACTCTCTGGGCGGCTACAACCTCAGGGTCCTTGGTCTCTTCTGTTGAGCTGTTGGGGACACTCAGGCCAAGGGGGCAGGGTTGGAGTTTAGGGCTGCCTGTGCCCCGCACAAAGGGCTGAAATCCAGGCCCTGGGCCAGTAGAGGCCCAGAGGCGGCACCTCCTAAAACCTACACAAAGTGGTCCTGTAGCTTAGCTCAGTCTCTTTCTGTTCAGTCTTTCCCCATCTGTCCCACCCACAGCCACGGCTGTTCACGCGATTCACCCTGGCCAACGGGCTGAACCCCCTGTGGGGGCGTGGGGGCCTGTCCATCCACGTTGATGGCCACACTCAATTCCTACCTCCAGCCTTGCCCTCCCCCAGCACCAGATTCCAGGGGCCAACCATCCACGTACCAGCTGTGTCCAGGCAGTAGGCACTTTGGACCCCAACAGCCCTCCTCCCCCAGATACAAACTGAAGGAGGGCAAGGGGGGCTCAAGACCATCCCTCACAGTGTCTAACAGGGCCTTAGACCCCCCGTGGGTGCATCCTCTCCTCCCCAGGCCTCAGGCTTTCTTCTGCTCCAGCCACATGCCTTTTCTCTCCTTCTGCTCCAGGCTGTAGTCTCTGAAGACTCCCAAGATGGGACTTATGCCCAGATCAACAGCTTGGTCTCTGAAGACCCTCAGGATGTGACCTATGCCCAGCTCAACTGCCTGACCCTCAGGCGGGTGACAAGTGGACCCGCTTCCTCCCAAGAAGAGCCTCCGGCAGAGCCCAGTGTGTATGCATCTCTGGCCATCCACTAGCCCAAGCAGGACCCACACCCCACACTCCAGGGGTCTGCGAGGTCTCCTGCAGGGAGCCTGAGGGCAAAGGAGCTGCCCACAGTGGGTTCTACCTGATCCCACCCAGCCTGGAGGCAGGACAAGGACCCAACTACTGGGACCTTGTGGAAACTGCTTCCAGGAATTCCCATCACCATACAGCTGACCTTAGGGTTCCTGTAAAGTGACCCTGACTCCAAGGATTCCCATGGAAATGCCAAGACCACCAAGTGGTAACCCTGGTGGTGGGGGGAAGGGCAGGGCCTACCAACCAGCACTAGGATAGGACTACTCAGGACCTTCTGTAGGCTTCGTGGCAGCCAGGCAGCCTCCCAGGACCATCACTGCGAAGCTGGGTCTTAAATGTCCTTTCCCACAGGCCCCTAATTAGGACTCACCCACTTCCCAACCCCACCAAAATGAGCTTTGAAATCAGTCTGTTCACCTTCTCAAGGGCTTCCTACCAAACCCCAACTACAGTAGTTCGTCTCCACCAGTGACCCCAGGTTCAGCTCTTTGCGCCCACCCCCAACATTTAACCCCTCACCCCCACTCACTACTTCTCTGCCGGGAAAGGACTCCACCCCACCCCAATGCAAACAGCTGGCTCCCAGCAGCAGACATGAGTGGGGTGCACTTCCCCTACCCCAACAAGGATCCCCAGCTGGTAGGCTCCCCAGGCCCCTCTAAGCAAGAGGCAATGCTCCAAGTGTGAACTTGCTAGGATGAGGAAGCCTGAGCTTTTTCCCACCACAGAAGCCTGTGTGTTCAGAGAAGGAAGGAGAACAGACCCACCAATAAACACCAGTTCCAAAGGGTTGATTCTGTTTTATTATCTGACTAGAAAACGAAGCAATCCATAGCCCAGCGGTGGGGCGGGTGGGCTCAATCCTCCTCCTCGTCATCTCCAGCTCCAGCCCCACCCTGGCCCTTCTTGGCATTCTTCCTCTTCACGCGACCAGGGCGGCCGCCCCCGTATGGAGAGCGGAGGGAGAAGTCGATGTGCTTCTGGGAGTCCAGGCGGACAATGAAGGACGGGATGTTCACCACCTGCTTTCGGACCCTGGAGGGGGGATGGCAGGTGAGGGGAGGGGGGAAAGGATCCCAGCAGGATGAGACCCTACTCTCTGCTTCGACTCTGCAGCCGGCAGGGTGGGTGCTGCAGCCACACTGACCCCGCAGCGCCTGTGCGATCAGGAGGGCGTCAGAGCATCGCAGGAGAGAGTTTTTCCTGTTCGCATCTTACAGAAGTGGAAACATCCACAAGTAAACCCCACATGTGACCACTAAGTAAGAAGGCAACATGGCAGCAATTCCAGGATCTGATGTCTAAAACTCAACTGAGCTTCAGGTGTAGTACCTGAGATGCAGCATCACAGTCCTTCAAGCAGCCGCCCGTCCAGGTTCTCTGGAACCCGACAGAGGGCAAACAGAGCACCCAGATACAGAACCCTTCTGCCCTGACAGCTGCCACCTGGAGCCAGCCAGACCCCTGCAGTCCCTGGCACTTGAGCATCAGACCGCGGACTGGGGCGAGCTTACCAAATTGACGCCCACATCGTGCAAGAACGTGACGGCCACCAGGTGGGGGGCCCAACAGACGGCCGAACCCACGGACCCAATCAAGCCAGCTGGGCGCACCCAGGGCGGTTACCTGTCCAGCTGCCTGCGCGCCCGCAGAGGCCTTCACAAGGTGTACGGCTCCGGCCGCAGCGACCCTTGCGCCGGGCTAGGGGGAGGACGAGGCCGTCCCCAGCGCCCCAGGAGCTCTCTGCCTGGGTCAACCTGTACCCTCAAGGTGTGTTCACACCCGTCACCTCCGAGGGCTGTGCAGGAGGCAAGGACCGCAAACTCAGCGAGGGCAACCAGCAGAGGAGAGGATGGGGTGGAAGAGAGACTCCGGGAGCCCAGAGGGAGTACCTGATATGGCGCTGGCGGATCAGCACGCGGGCATGGTGGATGGATTTGGCCAAGCCCAGCTTGAAGACCTGGGTCTGCAGGCGCCTCTCCAAGAAATCCTCAATCTTGAGGCCCAGGATGTAATCCAGCTTCATCTTGCCCTCGTCCAGCACCCCAATGCGCACGAGTCGCCGCAGCAGAGCGTTACCTGGTAGGAGGGGAAGGAAGCACGCATTCAGGCTTCCGTCTCACTTCAGACTTCTTGGGGGCTCCCTAGCATGGAGGTGGGATGTGAGTGGGAAGCAGGGCCCATGACTCTGATGTAAGATCCAACACAGTGGCCACAGTGTGGCTCCTACGATCCTCACAACCACGCAACACCTACCTGTCTTACCAAGGAGGGCAGGTGACCACACCCACCTCTGTTCTCTGAAACAAGGAACAGAACCTTCCGTGAGCTGTCAGGAGAGTAATGAGACAATCCTGCCAGAGGACTTAACCACTCCCCACCGCCCCCAAAGACCAGGTGCTGCGGCTGCTAACCCATCATTCCCACAATGGAGCGCAGCAGCGGTCAAGACCTAACCTGCCGGAGTCAAGAAACCGCTACTAGTCAGTCAAATCTGAGGCTCAACCGCCTTCCCTGACAATATAGGGCCGTCAGCACTTAGCCTCTAGGCCCTAGAAGCCTCAGACTGGGCACACGTTTAAGGAGTATGTCATATGCTCTACCATTCTATCTGTGGTTTCCTGCTGAGAAATCATGGTGTGTTCATGCCAACAATGGCATGAGGTCAGTAACCCCCAGGTGCAGGAGGCCTTGCAATTTGCCCATAGCCCCTGACCACGCCACAGCGGCCAGGACTTGGGATCCCGGAGGCAAACCCTGTCCCCAGAGTTCATACTCACACAGGCTCATAGCCTAACACCGTGACACTGGGGTAAAAGCCCAACTTTGCTTTTCCTTAAAAAGGATTAGTTTCACTTCTCGTCAAGTGACCTTATCATTCATTACAGCAAGACAATTCAAGGAAGCTCTTCTGTACTATCCCGGATTCTTGGCATCATGACCCCTTGCCCCTGGAAAACTGCAGTCTTTCTAGCACAGCTAATGGAGAAAGACGATCAAAATGGAGGCACACACTCTACCTTTCCCGACATCCCAAGTCCTAGTATGGCTTCGTTCTTCACTCTAACGAATGCTCAACCTAAGACAGGATATTTAACCATTTACAAAAACATCAACAGGGGTGCCTGGGTGGCTCAATTCACTGAGCATCTGACTTTGGCTCAGGTCATAATCTCATGGCTCACGGATTTGAGTCCCACATTGGTCTCTGCTGTCAGTGCAGAGTCAGCTTCAGATCCTGTGCTCCCCCCACCATCAAAAAAACAAACAAAAAAACCCCTAAAACATTAAAATAGAAAGGTATTCCATGCCTATGGTTTGGAAGTATTGTTACAATACCCATGATATCCAGGGTGCCTGGGTGGCTCAATCGGTTCAGCCTCTGACTCTTGATTTTGGCTTAGGTCATGATCTCACGATTTGTGGGACTGAGCCCTGCAGCCAGCTGCGTGCTGATAACAGAACCTGCTTGGGATTCTCTCCCTCTCTGCCCCTCCCCTGGCTTGTGCTCTCTCAGGATAAAGGGAAATGCAAATCAAAACGACAGTGATGTCACCTCACACCTGCCAAAAACAATATCAAAGACAAAAAAACAGTCCGTGAAATGTAAAGAAAGGGAACCCTCTCCTCATGCACTGTTGGTGAGAATGTGTAGGGGCGCCTGGGTGACTCGGTTGAGCACCCGACTTTGGCTCAGGTCAGGATCTCGCAGTTTGTGAGTTCGAGCCCTGCGTTGGGCTCTGTGCTGACAGCTCAGAGCCTGAAGCCTGTTTCGGATTCTGTGTCTCTCTCTCTGCCCCTTCCCTGCTCATGCTCTGTCTCTCAAAAATGAACGTTAAATTTAAAAGAGAATGTGAGATTGGTGCAGCCAGTCTGGAAAACAGGATGGAGTTTCCTCAGAAGTCAAAACCAGAACTATGATGACATAGCAATGTCACTTCTGGATATTATATTTATCCAAAGAAAACGAATGCGCTAACTGGAAAAGGGAAGCTCCCCCCCACACTCTCTGTAGCATTATTTGCAGTGGCCAAGACATGGAAACAACTTTAAGTGTTCACCGAATGACAGCTGAACGGGTAAAAGATGCGGCACCCACAAAGCGGGCGATTAGTCAGCCATAAAAAAGAATGAAATCTTAGCACCTGCAACAGCACGGACAGACCCCGAGGTCCATGCCAAGTGGAGTCAATCAGAGACAAAGGCCATGATCTCATTTATACATGGAAGCCACACAAAGCTACCATCAACAGAAATACCCCAAATTCGCAGACTCAGAGTACATTATGGTGGTTGCCGGAGTCACAAGGGCAGTGGGTGAATGTGGTCAAAAAGTACCACATTCCAGTTAGAATACTCACTGTATACGAGAAAGTTGTCAAGAGAGCACATCTTTAAGACTTTATTTCTAAAGTAATATCTGCACCTCACGTGAGGCTAGAATTCACAACCCTGAGTCAAGAGTTGCTGCACCAATGGAGTACATCTTAAAAGATCTCATTACAAGAAAACTTTTTTTAAGCTACAGATAGTGACAGAAATGAACTAGATCACTTATTGTGATCATTTCATGGTACAAAGAAATATCGAATCATGCCACACATCTAAAAACCACATACAGTCTGTGAATTATACCTTGGTTAAAAAGAGACATTATTCAAATATTAATACAAAAAATGCCCCCACACAAAAACTAGTTTGGGATTATCTACCAGCTAGGATACTTTTTGCCTTTTTTGTCCTCATGCTAGAGAACAGAAACTTGACATCAATTTTAGAATCTCTTTAGAAATTTCTATGTAAAATAAAACCACTATCATTAAAAGGCCTTTCCTCGTCCTAATGGCACGAAATAAGCATTAAAATGCCTTAGTTTCTGATCTGAAAAATGGATGTTATACCTGTTTCTTTATAGCTGCCAGGGGGATGAAGCCACAAACCGCTCCCAGCCAAGTGCTGGCTGCAACTAGTTTAAGAGGCAAAGCCTTTTTAATAAAAATCAGAACACTTTCTCACCCAGTCACTTGCCTTTAGTGGGGAAGGCTAGACCTCAGGCTGGACCAGTGACAAACACCTCCAGGGATAGGCAGAGAGCCTGCAGGCTCCTTCCTGTCCAGTCGGGCTAAACACCTTCGTTTACTAAATGCCTACAAACCTATGGGCTGCCTTCCCCAGTAAAGTCCACTTCTGCCATGGGAAACCACAAATACTCTGGGTTCACCTGCCCGGTCAGCCACAGGACTGCGTATCTGACCATGGGTTGGAGTAGCTTGATCTTCAGAAAGTCCCTCTGCCCTCAATTAACTGGCTGGCTCCACAAAGACTTTTAGATCAAGTCCCACCCAGGCATCCACAGGGGAGGGGATTCCTGAATTTTCATGATCACGTGATCTATCGGTGATGGTTAAACAAGCTCCAGAGCTTTCTCAACCTCTAATATGACTGACTGCCCAACCATTAACGGTGAAGGCTCAAATGTAAAAGCAGTTTCCTTCTCAGCTATAGATTGGAAAAGAAATCAAAAATTTAGAAACAAGCAAAACATGATTCCCAGCCCCCCCTATAAACCAAGTGTCCCCGAGCTCAGGCCAAAAGCAGTATGAGGAGGAGAGCTTCCAGGTAGCCCAACTTTAGGAGTTAACACAGAGCAAGTGACCTGTACACTTGTGACAGAAGCTTTCACAAGCCATTGTGGGATAGATACTCTGACTTCTTTCACATTCAGATACTGTTTCAACTGTTGGTCATGTTCTCTAAGCTTCCTGGAAACTCTTCTCAGTCCACCCCATCACTGAGTTTGTCTGGACCCACTACGAGAGGATCACCTGTAAAATGTATCATAAGCTACCCCTAGGAAGCCGTCCTGCAGATTAAGTAACAAATCTAAAAAAACCCAGAAAAATAAAACTCCAGCTACTTTAACATTATTGCCATCTTACAACCCTGAAAAACAAGAAAATCATAAGGTGATTGAAATCAGCTGTTGCTCTGGAAAGGTGGTCAAGTTCCCAAATGATCTGCATTCCCTTCCCAAATCGTCACCCTACAGGCTGCCTTCCCGGTCAGGCTTTTGGAAAACACCGCTGACCACCTTATAAAAGTAGGCAATGCTTGGGGAGCCCCGCGTCACACGCTTACAGAAAAGGGGGATTTGGCTCCAGACCCACTTTTCCCACGGATGACTTCCACTCAGGGCCAGAGGTGGGCTCCCCCCGCTCGGCCCAGACCTTTGACCAACGGACGAGCAGAGGCGGGAGGGAGGCCGGCGGCGCCCCGCACCCAGTGTCCCTCCCGTGGGCTCGCGCACACTGCCTCACCTTCAAACAGCCGCCGCGGGTCCTTCTCGTCCAGCGTCAGCAGCTCCCGGGCAGCCTTGCGGATCTTGGCCAGGGTGAACTTGACCCTCCACACCTCACGTTTGTTGCGGAGCCCATACTCGCCTGCGAAGAGAGGGATCTGGCTGCTGGGCGAGCGAGCTCGGCCCCCCCGGCCAAGTGCAAACGCAAGGCTGGACAACCCCGCCAGACCCCAAACCATGCCCACCTCCGGGGGGGAGGCGGGACGCTCACGCGAGAAGGCCCGCGGCAATGAGCACGTGTGCGGCCTCACCCACGCGCCGGCCAAGCCCCACCTGGCCCGGAAACAGAAACCCGGGTCACACTACTCACCGATCAGCTTCAACTCTTGATCGAGGCGGGATTTCTCGAAGGGCCTCCGAGGGGTCACGTAGGTTTTGCGGCAAACCCAGCTCCGGGCCACCGGCATGTTGGCCGCGAATGTCCGCGTGCGCCTGCGCGGGACGGAAACCCGAGCCTATGAGAGCCGCGCACGGCGCCTGCGCAGTCCCACAACGCCGCCGCAGGCTCGCGAGAACCGCCCGCGACGCCGCCAAAGCCGGCTCGCCCAGCGCCACCGCTCTGCAGTCCCGTCCAACCACCTCCGACCGCCTTAACATACTCATTTCATGTCGGAAGGTCCTTACGCCCCTGCAACCCACACCCTGACCAGAGAGCCGGGCAGCACACTCACCCTCACCGTAGCCTCCGAGAGCTGAGAAAGAAACGCCCGCGGCCCGGCCTCGCTTTTATAGCAACGACGCTGCCTGGTGACGTCAGCGCGCACGCCGCCAGCCTGCACCAATCAGAAGAGGTGGTGCCGAGCGGAAAAGCACTCGGAGAGGACAGGTAGGGCCAGGGCGGCGAGCTGAGTGTGCCGCCCGCGTCTGTCCTTGACCGGAGTCACGGCGTCCGCCCCCGGGGAAGTGAGGACCGTCCTGCGCCCCTGGGCGGTCACCTCACAGGGCCCGCTAGCGAGCCTCTGAGTGGCGATGTCCACCTTCTCTGGGCTGCAGCCGCCCCCGCTCTAGGATTATAGGCACACCTGGGGATGTTGGGGAATTAATTCCAGAGGTGTTTTCTAGAGGGTATAAAAATCCTGTTTATACTATACTGTGGTCTATTACGTGGGCAATAGCATTATGTCTTTAAAAAAAAAAAAAGTACATACCTTAATTTTAAAATGCTGGGGCTCCTGGGTGGCTGAGGTCGATTGAGCATGCCACTCTGTCTGGGTCAGGTCCTGATCCTAGGATTGAGCCCCGCGTCAGACTCGCGCTGAGCACAGAGTCAGCCTCTGTCTCCTTCTTCTCCCTTGCTCGCGCTCTCTTTCGAAAAATAAAATCTTAAGGCAGAGTTGCCCAAACCTTCAGTGTGTAAAAACGCGCCATGAAGCGACATGTCATAAGATGAATCGTGCCTCTATCGCATGTAATTAAAACCTCTCCCAATTCTTTGGGACTCTGGGAATTAACACCTTAACTTATCCATATTTATTTTATTTTTAAATTTTATCTAAATCCAAGTTAGTTAACATATAGTGTAATAACAGTTTCAGGAGTAGAATTTAGCGATTCATCACTTGCATAGAACACCCAGTGCTCGTCATTTATCTGCATTTCTTACAATCTTAGTAGAGGAACATCACTGTATGATGCATCCAGTAAACATCCCCATGCAGATGGTGGTTATCTGCTTTCGCTGCCTCAGAGTTTGAAATAATGTGCCTGCGGCCAGCGCTCTGAAAGGAGAGGACCCCGCAGTTTGACCCTTTGCCTTTGTACTTGGTGCCCCTAACCTGCTCTCCCCATTCTCTGGGCCCCCAAAGTGGACGTCTGAAATGCAATTGATTTTTATTTTTATTTTAAAAGGTTATTTATTTAGTGAGAGAGCAAGCATGAGTGGGGGAAAGGGCAGAGAGAGAGAGAGAGAGAGAATCCCAAGCAGGGCCTGCACTCTGATGTGGAGTTTGAACCCGCAAACCATGAGATCATGATCTGAGCCGAAACTAAAGAGTCGGATGCTTAATCAACTGAGCCCCCCAAGGGCCCCCTAGAAATGCAGTTGATTTTTGGACATTGATGATGTGTCCAGACACATTGCATAAGTCCTTTTCAAATTAGAATCATGGATCTTTATATGATTTTGAATAGTCCATGCACACAATTTTGGGATCGATTAATAATCAATACAGCATTATTCTATCCATTTAGTGCTTATCACTTTTTTTTTTTTTGCCTTATTTAATTGGCTGGTTACTTATTGAATACAAGTGGCAGCACCGAACATGGTTGTCTGAGTCTCCTTCACAGCACAAAGGTTTCAAGCTTTTGCCTGTAAAAATTATCCCTATTATAAATTGGCGATCTGTTTTATCAAAAGCTTTGCATCTGTTGCTATTGTCTTGCTTTACTATTTCTTATTTTAATGTTTGAAGTGTATTGATTTTGGATATGAAACTCACCAGGCATTCCTGAAAAAAAAAAGATACCTGCATTGTCATGACATGTCAACCTATTTTATAGATCGCTGAACCTTGTCTCTGGATATTTTGTTTAGGGACCTATACCTGAGTCCATGCGAAGGAACTCACCGTGATTTTCCCAGTTTGTAGTTTTCTTGCCAATTTTTGTTTTTCTGGCCTGATAAAATGTGTCAGGGGAGCATTCCTTCTTTCTCTGTTCTCTGGGGAAGGCTGTGTAAGTTTGGTATGCGTATGTGTGCATGTGTGTTCACATGTGTGCTCACGTGTTTGTGGATGTAGGTGTGTCCATATGCCCACGTGTGCATACGTGTGTTCACAGGTTCTTGTGTGTGTATGTGTGTGTTCCTGTGTGTAGGTGTTTCTGTGTCTGTGTGTGCTCAAGTGTGTGTTCACATGTTCACATGTATGTAGGTCTGTCCATGTGTCTGTGTGTACGTTCACATATTTGTGTGTGTTCACGTGTTCACATGTGTGTAAGCCCGTCCATGTGTCTCTGCGTGCGTGTGTTCCTGTGTTTGTGCGTATATGTGTCCATGTGTTCACATGTGCGTTCACATATTTGTGTGTGTTCACGTGTTCACATGTATGTAGGCCTGTCCATGTGTCTGTGCATGCATGTGTGTTCACATGTTTGTGTTTATATGTGTATATTTGTGCCTGTGTGTCCACATGTGTGTTTGCATGTTCACATGTATGTAGGTGTGTCCATTCATGTGTGTGTGTATTTTTATGAGTACATCAGTGTTTGGAGGCATTCATCAGTGAAACTTTCCAGACTCAGTTCACTTTGTGGAAAAAACTTTAATTGTGTATTCAACATATTTTATACATACGGCATTTAGAGTTTCTATTTATCCCTATTCATCATTTTGCATTTTTGAGAATTGTCCATTTCCTCTACATTTTCTAATGTATTAGCACAAAATCGTTAATAATATAATAATAAGTAATAAAAATAAACAATAATTCTGTTATGTATTTAAAGTCTATAGGATGTGATGCTGTGCTCATAATGTCCTCTTTGTCTCTGTCTCTCTCTCTCTCTCTCTGTCTTTCTTGGCATTGTGGCTAGGGTTTATGAATATGTTTCATGTTTTCATGAATAAACGTTTTGGGCTTTATTGATTATGCTCTATTTTTTGTTTGTCTTCATTAGTAGCTACTCTTATCGCTATAATTTCCTTCCTTCTACCTTCATTTGGAATAATTTGCTGTTTTTTTCTAAATTCTTGGTACAATAATTTATGCTATTGACTTTTTAGGCTTTTTCTTTTCTAATACGTTCGTTCCTGGTTGCTAATTTTCCTGCGCCATAGGTCTGATGTGTAACATTTACATTATTCAGCGTAAGCATTCTCCCATTTCCATTTTGGTTTTCTTATTTCACTCACGGATTATCGAGAAGTCTGTTGCTTTATTTCCAAAATGTAGGGGCTCTAGCTATCTTTGATGGCAGAATCCGGTCACTCCCAGAGGGTCCCAGGAGTTCTTACTGGTCTATGTTAGGAGTCCAGGCTGGCTGGGGCCATTAGGCGGCCTCTGTGGGCAGCTCCTGCGCCTCCTGGGGTCCCCGCGGTGCCCTCCCTGGAGTGTGGGCTGTGGGTCCTTCCTGGGCTAGCGGATGGCCAGAGCAGCATACACGCTGGGCTCTGCTGGAGGCTCCCCGGCTTGGGAGGAATGGGGTGCACTCGTCTCCCGTCTGAGCGTCAAGCGGTTCAGCTGGGCGTAGGTCACATCTGGGGGGGCGTCAGGTGCGGCAGCCTGCAGTGGGCGGAGGGAGAGGGGAGGTGTGTGGTTGGGGTGGGGCGAGCCTGGGAGCCTGGAGAAGAGAGGACCCACCTGACTGTCCAACTGCCTGTCTTCCTCTGCTTCTGTGTCCAGCAATCCCCCCCACAGGGGGGAAGGAGAAGTGGCCGGTCCCCGACTGAGTCTTGATCTTGAGTGGCTCACCTGGGCATACGTCGTTCCTTGGGGGTCTCCATCCTCCGCGTCCTGCTGGAGACAGACAGTGAGGGGGAGATTCGTCTCCTTGATTCCACTCGACAGCCTCGGTGAGTTTTCCACACTGTTGCCAGAGTGATGCTTTCGAACTTTTAGGCAGCTTAGGTCAATCTCCTGGTGGACTCCTCAGGGACTTCCTGAGCCTTGGGGCATCTGGGTGCTTCCTACGGCTCTGAATCTGTTCCTGACACTGTTTCTTGCTCATTTGGCTCCGACCACATGGCCGCCACCCCCACCTTCCCGAAAACGCATGTTGCTGCCTAAGGACCTTTGCGCCTGCTACCCCCACCTCCTGCCTTATTTGCCCCAGCCACACTTTGCACTCCAGGACACTGCCCACTTCCTCGCATACGGTCTGTCGCCCACAAGGTGAGCTCGCCGAGCGTGGGTCAGGTTTGCTCACTGTCGTGCCTGCAGCACTAGGTGGGGCCTGGTAAACGGTGGGCTCTCCGTGCACATTTGCCGGGCAAATGAACGAATGGGGCCTGGAGACCTGCGGGTGATTCCTTTCTTCACGCACCCTCTTGAGACCTGGGCGAGCACCCCAACAACCGGAAGTCCGACGGCGGGTGAGGACCAGTCAAGGGGGGCACGTGGGAGGTCCCGCGAGGTCACGGCAAGAGGCCCCGGGGTGCCCAAGGAGGGAGAGGGCACCCGTGGGACACCGCCACGACCGGGTGGTGTGAGGACACAGGAGTGTCCGTTGGTTTATGTTTGGCACCAGGAGGGCCCTCGGGGTCTGCACGGGAGCAGGGGTCTCACCCGCTGGTCCAGCTCCACCCCCTCCTCGGGCTGTGCGTCTTGCACGGCGGCATCTGTTGGGGCAGAAAGGGGGGCGTATCTCTTGGCAAGGTCCCCTGGGCTCACACCCCACCCCGCGGTCCAGGGGCTCCAGTGGAGGGTGAGGGGCCGAGGCCACACGTGCAGGAACGCCGTCCTCACTCCCAGCCACCAGCCCTTCCCAGCCCCCACCCCCCGGGGCGGCCCCACTCCTCTCACAGAGGGTCTCCTCCTGGGTGGCGGCAGCTGGCCTGGAGCTGGGGAGGAGATGGGGTGTTAGGGGGCATAGATGGGCAGGCGGGTGGGGGCCCGGGGGTCTGCGGGCACGAGTTACCTGTCCTGCAGGCCTCTGTCCTGGGGCTCTGGGTCTGCGGCCCCTGCAGGAAGTTGGGAATCAGCCTCCCCCTGGGCTGGGAGGTTAGGACCCCCGCCACGTGATCCCAGAGGAAAGGAACCCTTCACACATATTGCCCGTGTTTCAACATCTCCCGAGACGGAAGAGAAGAAAACACCTCCAATTGGCACATGGGTGCCGACCTTAGGTGTTTTCTTTCTAGCCTCTTCGACGTGAGACTCTGCAGAAGTGTCTTTCCACGCTGGCCTTTCCCGCGTCTGGTTTCCCTCTGGCTGGCGCCCTGAGCCACTCTCCATCCACCCGC